CGTTTAGCATGAATATATGTTCCATAGGTCTAGACATAGGCATGTTATAAGTATCAACTTATACAACATATATAACCCATACAAGTGTTCCATCTACTTATAAGCGGCCCGCCCTGCCAAGAAGAGCAAGAACGGCTAGATCCCCGTAAGCAAACACGTTCGGGCTGCTTGCCTGATGGGACTTTCCCAACTTCTGCTGCAACTGGTCCAGTGCTTCAGACTGTGCTTTGAAGACCTCTTCCAGCTTGGCCTGAAAAGATGAGGCATGGCATGGCATGGCTGAGCCGACACCACACTGAACACTGCTGGACCTCATGCTCGACATTTAGCCGCTGGACCATCTCCACACCTTCAGTCTTGACCTGCACACCATTTCCAACAACCTCGCTGTAATTTCTGCACGGCGAGGCCTTCTCAATCTCCAAGCGAGACGAGGCAATTAGCCGCTGCACCTCTGCCTAGCGTATTCGGATGGACGCAGTGAAATACCTTGCTGTGGAGAGTCAGAGATCCGGTCCTGCCCATCTCGCGTTGTGGCCTTAAGTGCCTCCTCAAGATCTTCGATTTTCTGCTTGAGTCCCCTGAGGCGGAGCAAAGCATTGCATTGCACGGCAGCTGTCCATGGCCTGGATCCCTGATTGCCTTGCCTTGTCTCAGACTCATGTGCGTCTTGAAGGCGCCTCCCACAGCTGCAACCGCGGGTTCTGCTGCCACGTGTGAGGCTACGCTGCGCTGCGCCATGCTGCGCCTGAGTTCGTCTTGGAGTCTGTGGACCTCTGCGAGCCCTTCGCGACCGCGGCTTTCGAGAGCTTTCATCATTTCCTGGTATCTCTTCCCACCGTCGCCGGCAAAATGCTGAAACGATCTGAAACGGGCTCATAGAAGTATGTTGGTGCTCTGGAGATTTCCTGCCGGCCCTGAGCTTTCAAGCGTGCTTGGCCCCCGCCCCAGCCGAAGCATCGAGGAGGCAAATTTGGAATCCCTGCAACGCGGTCCTCGCGCAAGCTCTGCAATTCTTTCTGCTGCTTCTCGGCCAGCAGGGCGGCTTCTTTTCTTGCCTCGCTTTGCCTCGAAGCTCGGAATCAGGAATCACATGGAATGGAAACCAGAAGCTTGAAGCACTCGCCCATCGACCCACTAACTGGGCGCCCTCTGTGATCAGGCGACGTACTGCTCACTGAGGCTTGAACAGACGCTCTATCTCTGCCACATGCAAAGCCTGTTTTTTCTCGACTTCACCTGCGTCACTAGCTTTCTGCTACCCATTCCTTGCTCGTTGGGTATGCTGGGCATGCACCAGCACCTTGAAGGGCTTGTAACTCGGAGTTTGCGGCTGCCTTGTGCTTCGTGAGCTGAAGATTGCTATGCCATGGATTTCTCTTTGAGGCTCCGGCAGCCTGCTCTTCTAGAATACGCTTCAGGCAGCGCTCCTCATCGAGGCTAGAGGATCCGCAAGCTCCAAAGCTCTGTAGCGAGGCCTCTTCGGCTTCGCTTCGAGCTTCTTCCAGCTTCGACTCCAAGTCCTTGCGCAGTATTGCACAACAGGGCACGGAGCACGGAGTCGGAGAGCAGTAAGCGCCTTGAGCTTGCCCTGAACTTCAGCCAGCTCCGCCTCCTTCGCCTGGCGAGAGAGAGCTCAGCAAATCAGTGCCTCATGCGACGCGACTGTGCGACCATCGCCTCCAGCAGACGCCGGCCGCTTTGATCCGATCCCTGCAACTCACGGAGCTCGCGGCGAAGGCGGTCCGCCTTAGGACAACGCATGGCACAGCACCGGCCTACAGTCGCTTACGGCACCGCGCCTCTGCTTCGAGTTCAGCTCGAAGAGATGCCACTTCTGCCTTCAGTGCTTAAAGAATGTTGTCAATTGTTGCTTACACGTACGTGCGAAAAACAGTTCTGAAACGCTTCGAAAGATCGCATCGCAAAGCTCTGCTGAAAAACTCTGAGGGGATGCTCGGGACTGCGCCGCGCTGGCTTCCTGCATCTCGGAGAGGTCACGTTCGTGTGTCCTGCCGTGACAAAGTTTGTCTCAGACCTAATTCAACATCCGGTGGGTCCTCTCCAGAGCATACACCGCCTCAGCGTGCGCCTCTCTGGTGGCTTCTAACTCACGGCTTGCGGCGTCGTGCGCCTGCAAGCTGTCAAGTCTTCTTTGCACTAGCTTGGTTCAGTTCAGAAGCCTTCTCCAGCTGGCTGTTGAAATCCTTTTCTCGCCTTGGGATCAAAACACAGGAAACGACAAGTTTCCCGGGTCATCTCCCAGGCCGGGCCATCTCCCGGGCCGGGCCCCTACAAGGCTTTCAGAAACGTGGTGAAGCATCGTACACAGGTTAGCAACACATGAGTGATTTTCACGAGGTCGTACTCAAGCCTGCCTTAATTACTTGTTGGCCTGTGGAGCAAGTGCACATGTGCCAGCCTGGAGGTGTGTTCAACAAGCTGTTCTGTTCAGTTTCTTCTTCTCGTGCTTTCGCTGGCATCTTGCAAGGGCCCGAGCTCCGAGAATTTGCTTTGCCACTCCAGAAGCAATGCCTTTTGTTCTTCGAGCTCGGCCTGACGTGTGCTCGCCGCTGGATCAATCCTTGAGGCTTCAGAGGTGCAGGCGCCTGCAGCCGATGGACCTCGGAGCCACCTTCACGTGCCAGCTCCTCCCGGCGAGCCTCTGCGTCGGCGAGGGCCTGGGAAACCACAAGACTGAACGCCAAGAACCCTCAAACCTCTGCAAAAAGCTGCCCCGGCGCCTTCTGAAGGTGTCCAAGCTCCTCCGCCCGCTTCTTCAACTCAGCCTGCACCTTCGACACCTTCCCAAGCCAAAGGTCGAGCACGGAAGAAAAAATGCTGAAAGCAGGGTGACCTCTTCCCTTTCCCTCGCCAACTCGAGGCCCAACTCCGCCTGAAGCGATGCAAAAACCTTCCGATAGTTCCGAAGTTTTCGACGTGCCTCGGCCGCTTTTCGGGAGGCAAGTTCAGCCTTGAGCGATGCTTCACGCTCCTTTGCGGCCTGCTTTGTGAAACTTTCACCACACCCACAGGAGAGCGAACCCAACTCACCTTAAGTTCCTCCTCCCAGCGCTGCCGCTCTGCTTCAGCACTCGCCTGTCATCTTTGGGCGACACATCCGCAGGCCGTGCTGCATACAAGATGCACTGATGCTCCGGCATGCTCTGGCTGCCTCCAGTCGTCCTTGATCTCGGTGAGATTTGTCTAGCAGCTCCTGTAGGCCGACTGACCCGGAAACTGACACTTGTGCTCAACCTTTACCGTACAGCTAGCAACACTTGCAAATCCTGCATTTGTGGCTTCATGCGGGTCCAACCCTGTGCTCAGTTGCGGGAAGCTGCGGCTAGCGTGTACTTTCCATACCCTGCCAATCCTTCTTTTCGGAAAGCAGCGATCAACAAATGCAACACGGAGCGAGTTCTTAAGGTTGGTGCACCATGTTCCTTCTACCAAGCTTGGTGCGATCCTGGGGCCCAAACATGAGGACAGAATGTGATTTACAGCATTTGGTTCGTTGGAGTGTTCAACTTGGAGTGTTCCACTTTGTTCAACATGTTCATAGCACGCTCAGATACCAGGATGAGAACGCATGACCTATTGTTCGAAAATGCTACTGTTTGCGGGGATTCTCCTGGAGTTTGCTTGTTCTGCCAGCAGCTCCTTTTGAGAATTTGCATGCTATATCGGAAAGCCAAAGCACGGAATTTTGATGCGGGGCACAAACCCCGAGCTGCGCTGTCCGTGGCAGTCCTCGATGATGATGATGATGATGATAATGATGATGATAGCGCAGCCTTGGGCCCATGCGTGAGGGCCCCTTGCTCCTTTTTATCCTGCGGGGTCGCTGGGGTTTGGTTTTGTTCGGCCGCTCCTTCGGTGAAACTAGCGAATCAGAGATGGCGATAGCACGCCTAATGCTGATCGTACTCCTCGCGACCACAACCGAAGCAAACCTTTATCAACCTTGGATTCAGCCAGGCGGGGACCGCCGCCACGTTGCAAGAGCGGCTTCGCGACACACCGCCGATCAGCGGAATGCCATCCAGCAAGACAGATGACCGGCCCCAGGGCACAGGCGACACGGCTGGAAGGGCACCCGAGAAAAAACCAGCCAATGCCTCCCAGGTGACAGACTTCAAGGCATGGCGCGGTGCCATGCACGAGTGCCAACGTCGCCGCACCAGGTCGCGGGTGCTTCGGCAAAAGTCTGGGAATGCTGCACAGAAACCCGATTCATCCGGTTCTGATCTGCTGATCATGACGATGATGCTGATGACGGTGATGCCGATGATGATGACTAGGAGGGGGATGCAACCGATAAAATAATTCGGACGGTCCAAAATCCAAAATATGTTCATCCGCTCAAAATCTTGTGTGGGCTGTTGTTGCCAAGGTGATGCCACTCGGGTCGGCATGCACGCTGTCGGCGTGAACCAACTCGGATGCTGGATCTCAAAGTCCACACCAGGCGTGAACCGTAGAAACACCGAAGCTCGACTGGTGTGATTTCTGACTGTCTAGTTCGACTTCTGTCTACACGTAGCGAACACAAACACGCACAGAGAGCTATCGCGAAACTTCCGTGTGCCTGGTGCTTTTTTTGGAGTCTTGCAAGCTCCTCCTCAAAAGGCAGGTCGCTTAGCTGAAAAAAAGTTGTCAGGCTCCCTCAAGGTGAGAGCCTGCGAATCCACAAGGTTTCTCTTGAGGACATCTCCTTCCTCCTGCGGCCAGAAAGTAAGCCGGGTAAGCCTCTATGCAGATCCGCTGTGAGACGTGCGCCTTGAGTACTTTGCAAGTCTCCTCAAACTGTACCACGGATTCCTTCAAGTGCTCAATGTCCTGCGCATTGTTGTGACAGGGGAACAGGAACGTAACGTAGGAACAAGAGCCGCGGTCCTTGTCTCGACTCTGCAAGGCCAAGTTGCCTGCACTGACGGCTTCCCGCAGAGTGGCCTCAAATCAGACATCTGACGTGCACCAAAGGCCACTACACAGAGCATGTGACGACCCCATTTCCCCTAATGTCCCCACCATCTCATCTTCTGCGGCTTTCAGCCGCTCGCTGAGTTGGCTCCTCTCCAAAAGCGCGGCCTCGGAAGCTGTGGCTCACTGCCTCTATCTTCACCTTCCCACTCGGCCTTCAGAGCTTCATCTCCGGAAGCTAGACTGTCCTGCCAAGATTCAACACATGGAAAGCGTGGTACACGAAACCGCTGACTCGTTGTAGTGATGAGAGGCCTCCAAGCTTCGCTTGGCGCTGTCGAGCTGCGACTGAAGCTCCTGCAACATGCCACATCGTGCCACAGAATGCCGGCATTTTACCTTCGGTGCTCTGACGCCTTTTCGCAGCTGCGGCTATCAAATGATTTCTGCCGCCAAGGCCTGGCACCGTGAGCGCTCGACCTGAAGCTCCCTGGTGAAGTCGGCCTTCGCGGCTGCGCGACTCCTTTCTTGAACCTCATGTCCCCAGCTCGAGGCCTTTTGCTGGTCGATGCACCTTTGCAGCTCTGCCTGCGGAAGACGAACATGCTCACCTCAATCTTACAAGCATCGCGAACCTCCAGGGCTGCAGAGGCTTCGGACGCTTCCGCCATCCTGCGAACTTCTGCCTGCCCAGAGCTAGCATCTCAGCATCTCTTCATACCGGCTATTGCAATCACAGACCTCGTGCTCAGCACGTAGTCGGAGTAGCTCCGCTTCATGACGCGATCGAAGATCGGTAAGCTCGGCACCTTGCCCATCCTTCCAGAAAGCAGCATCTAATTGCGCAGCTAGTCAACTAAATATCGTTTTTATCCAGGTATCTTAAACAAACGACCTGTAAGCAGGGGGCGATACTGCAAGCACATCAGGAGCTATGTGCCGCGAAGAGCCAGGATCCCGCCTGGACTCTATCCAAAGCTGCTTTGAACTGTGAAGCCTGCACTTGGCATTGTTGCTTGACCGCTTGGACCTGCAGAGCTCTCCGGGCACCAACAGTATGCAAGGGAGCTTGGATGCCCTTCATGCCTCTGCATTCATGTTGCTGAGCCGTTCTTTCCACATGGCGGTGTTCTTGCTCTCCCTGGCCTTACGAGATGTGGTGTCGCACACACGGCATAGTCAAACGAATGGGCAAGTGGCCCTCACAACCTCAGGCACAGGCAGATGCTGCGGACTTGACATTCTGAATCTCTTTCAACGCTTCACCTCACTGAAGAGTCTAAAGGAAACAGACAGCGTTCCACCTGAGATGATGGAGATGTTGAGCACAAGCAGACATGAAACGAATATGACCCGCCGCAGATCCCAGTCACTAAACGCTAGAATCGCTAGAATAAATGCAAAGACCGACAGCTACGTTTGCATGTGCTGCTTTCGCACGTTTTGACAATGCGCGCGGAGCCGCTGGCAACTCAGATCGGAAATTTCCGTCTGAGTCTGAGGGGCAGGCGCTTCTCCTCCTCATGGCTCGATCTGAGAGCCTCCAGCTCTTTTGCGGCTTTGCTTCCATGGCCTGACCTCGCGGGCTCCCAGAGACAAACTACGAGCGTGAAGGGGCTTGGAGCTCATCGGCCGAAGGCTCAGGGAATGCGGCGTCGGGAAACCAATGCAAGCCCGAGCTCGCTTCTGTACCCCGGCGATGCACCCCGACGCACTCGCCGCGTCCGAGTGGACCCAAAGGCCGAGGCCGAAGGCTGACATCCAACAAGAGAGCTCTTTAGCACTTGCACTGCACTTGCCCTTGCACTCCAAGCCCCGCACTCAACTGCCTGAAGAGCACACATGAAGAGAAGCCAGCGATAGCAAGTTTGCAAAACCAGGCTACTGTCGCCTCGGCCAAACGGCGAACCTTCGAGTTGGCATCTCTGAGAATCTGCTCCACTTCTGTTTCATACGCCTGAGCAAATGGCAAATAGTAGTGCTGTAGTGCCACATCTCGCTTTTCTAGCTTAAATCCCGTGCCTGCGACACCGCCGCGAGATGCTGATCAGCCTCGATATCGTGAGGATAGGCAGGTTGTCGCGCCAGTCTCGTCATTTCGGACACTCTGGCCGACGCCTCGTCGTTTCTCGTGTTCAGATGGAAAATCACCTTCGTGAGCTGGGCAACCTTAGGAGCCGCAAGATCGCCGGACGGAGATCCCTGAAGTGTACAACCTTCTTGCTCATCTTGTGGTGTATTTCATCGCGGTCCATGCTTGCGAGACCACCTGCCAAGCCTGCAATCCATGAACACTTGCAGGTGTGTCATCAACTCATCGCCCTGCCTCTGCACAAAGGCCAGCACAGTACTTTGGAAGAAAGCGAGTTGCCCACAAACTAGAGTAACTATATAGAGTTTAAGCTGTGACTTGTTGGCGAGATCCTCGAACTCTTCGCCAACATCGGAGCTACAGGTCCATAACGCTTTGCATTGCTGCTCATGTGCAAACCATCCTACCCTGCTGAAGCCGCGGTGGACACAAGTTCAGAGCGAGGAATGAGCAATCCCAACACTCTGAAAAAGAGAGACATTGGGGGCACACAGATCCGAAGCAGGCTCTCCAACATTGCAACAAGCCTGCTATGGAAATCAGAGCATGACAAGTACACCATAGTACACCCTTGCAGAGTGAACAGCTTCACGTGGCTTCCGAAAAAATGCTCAAAGCTGCCACTCGTTAAAATCCTTGATGCATGAGTGACTTTTGCATGATGTCTTGCCTGTCAGGGACAGTGGTCAGCCTCGTGGCTGACTGCAAGAAACGGAGAAGCCTGCATCCTTTGCAAAGGAAACGCGTCGAGGAACTGCAGGATGCCAGGAGGGTGTTCGTCACTTTACCCTGCGATGCCTGCGATCATATATCTTTCTTTCGACACTCATCCTGCATTTCCTGGCGATGAATCCTAGGTTCGGCACTCTCCACATTTTGGCCGTCAATGCTCACAAGAGCGACTCGCCAGCAGATTACTGCCAGGTCTGCTCTGGATGAAAAACTGCGCAACATCCTAGGGAATGCAGCGATCAAGGACGAGTTGCCACATTTCTGGTGCGCTTTCTTATGGTCACTTCGATCTGGAGTCCCGGTGTTCGGGATGGTGCGGCGAGTAGCGTGTTGCAGGTGGGGCCAGGTTTCTACCAGTCAGTAGCCTTTGATGCGGTGCTTCCTCGCACAGGAAGGAAACATGCAAAGTCCACACTCACTCTTCTCATTCTCGTGAATGTGTCGTGCCTGCTGTTGCACCATTGCCGACAATCACTGCTCGGGCTTTCCTGGGAATCATCGGCATTCTGCACTGCAATTCTGGCACAAGCAAAGGATGCCAAGGCAACAACGGCCTCGCTTTCAGTGTCACACACACCTGGCATCTGACTTTCAAGCTGCATGATTTGCCGGTCGTCCTGCACAAGCCCCTCGCATTGCTCACGCACCAGTGACAGAGACTGACAGATCTTCAAAAGTAAGACTCACTACAAGCAGTTGTGCACTTCTGATGAACTCACACGTGCTGCAGCATGGCATGCCCACTCAGGCTCGAAGTTGACGTGCTGCAAGTTTTTCGCTCAACTGCCTCTTGGAAGGCTTGCACCACGTGCACGACCCTCAAATTCCAAGCCGTACGGGATGACAGAGCCAGATGTGGACTTCCTTCTGATGTCAACGCAGCCTTAGGCTTAGACTAGTTTTCTGACATGACATGTGTCCATCGTCCTCCTCGCAGGAATGGGTTCGTGACCCCAGATTGTGCAGCAAACTCGAAACAACAAGAAGCATGCAGCACAAGCCTTGGGATTCCCGTGGCAAGGAGTCGGAAGCATCTCAGACTTTGAACTTTGACACAATGCATAATTTCCCTCACCCGGCCCATTCATGCCTTGGCCCATTGCCCAGATCTGTATTTCGAGTTCGCAATTCGAACGTGGCATGGGCATGGGGGCTCCAAGTTTGGACATCTGCGCGACTGAAGTAGCTTGAAGTGATCTCTCGCAAACGAGCTACTACGTCGGTCGGATTGAAGATGCTTGTACAGCCGCCCTGGCATGTGAACTGTTGCAGCACAAATGCTTTGGCCTGCGGCACCTGCGCCCGCTGGTTGGACCCGGTGACCTAAAACGACCACTGTCAACGCGGGCTCCAAGTGTGTTCTCTGCACGCCCGGCCACGATCACACTGTAAGAAGTAAGTGCAGCACCATCTGTGTGCGAACTTTCAAGATATCGACCTCACCCTCAGCCTGCAAGGGGACCACGGCGGGTTCATGTCTTGAACACTTCTAGGTTCTGGCATCTCCCGGCCTTAAGGTCTTGGGACACGCGAACAGCCCGCTCGATCGCATTGCCAGTGGCAGTCAGAATGAGCTGGCGACAGAAACAGATCCGATTATCAGTCGCTCCAGATCCTAACCCCGGCCATCCCCGGCCCCTGTGCCCGATCAAAATATCATTGTCAAGCTCTCGCCTGCGAAGCTGCAGGACGCTCTGGCCGATCATCGTTTGCTGCAAGACCAGCCTCTGTAGCTTCAAAATCGTTGTAAAGTCAATGCAACTGGGGTGCTGAGGATTTTGCCAGGAATCCCTTGGATACGCGTGTGTAGAATGCCGCGGACTGCAAGCAGGCTGTCGACGAAACTCTCGGCTTGAATGCAGCCCACTTTGCTTTGGCACAATCCAAGCCGAGCCTTGGTCGTGCTAATGCGAACTTCCGCCTTTAATCTGCTGTAGTTTGGGCCATCCTTGGCCGGAACAGCAATGCTCTCTCAGTTGGATCTGAAGAACCTCGGGATGCCACCAACCAAGGGAACATGGAGCTCCGTCTCGCCTTCCCGCCAAGAGGAGCAATTCTTAAAGCCACGTAGAAGTTCCAGCGGCAGAGCATGCCGAGCCTCAAAGCTGTCGATGTGATCACTCTTTTGGAGCGTCAAGCCTCGCATTCGGACACAATCGGATTCGGCGCCCTCTGACACCAGCTCTTGGGGGCCCCTGGCCTATGTCGTCCAGTCCGTTCAGCAAGCAATGCCTCGGCACGCAGCCGAGGAGCAAAGGCTGCACAGACGCTATGCTCATTCGAGCTCCGCACTTCCGAAACGGGTCCACTTCAAATTTGATGGCCTCCAAACAGCCAAGGAAGAACAGTAGAAACTGCAGTCGCATGACCCCATTCCACAATGATCGGCGGAGTACCTCGCAGCCTTCTCTTCTGATTTCCTGGCTCTGAAGGTCCACGCTCAGCAATTTGTGTGCCTCGCTTGGCCAGAGCTCGAAGCTGCAACAGGGCGTCTATGGGGATTAGGAGCCTCCGAGTATGTCCAGAGCTCTTCCACCACATCCTGTCAGGATCCGTCAGGTCCAGGCCGCAACTCGCGTCGGCGCGCCAACGCTTGCAGCCCGCTTTGCAGCCCGCTTGCCAGTGCCGGCGCGGTGCGCACTGTTCCGCCCGATCCGATCCCGCCCGCGCACGGCACGCGCCTTCGTCACGGCAATGGGCAGCATCCCGTTCTTGAAGCAACTGGGGCAAGGGATCCGTCCGTGTCCCACAGTCTGCCCTCAATTCAATCATGCAGGCTGCACTTATTGAAGAAGATGTCCGCGAAGCTAGGAGCAATGATGCAGCGGATTCCCTGATCATTCAGAGCCCATGGCCTCAGAGATCGCAGGTTTCGGTGCCAGATCTTCGGTCACCCCGAGCCCGAGAAAACGAGCTCAATACGCATGTTCGCGTGATGAGCCACATCCTGAGGTGTCACATCAAGGACGGCAAACTAGGAACGAGGGCTCGCTGAGTGAGCGGACCGAAGTTGTCACCAGCAATGAGAACTGAGGAGGTTCTGTACGGCTCCTGCAAACAGGTCTGGATACGCTGGAATGGTTTTGAACTAGACATGGCTTCTCCTGATTGAGAATGAATCCTTTGTTTTCTGTGACACCATCGTCCTCTCAGAAGATGCTGCATGCAGTGCTTGCCAGTGCCGTGTGTCTCTTTCGGATGCTCTCAGGGTGGTCGATTCCATGCCTCATACCGGAGCTCGAAAAATGCAGCTTTGCCCAGCCTGGATGTGTGTCCTAACTCGATAGCCAAACCCTATGACCAGCACACATTCCGAGCGAACAGCCCAGTTCTTTTGATGGTCTTCCTGAACCGAGGAAACTCTCGTGCTTGCAGCTGCATGATTGTTGATGGTTGTCTTCATGCGGTACCTGTACTTCTTTGAGTATGTGTCCGGCGTTTCTAAAAGATGATGATGTTGATGGTTGTCTCCGGTGTTCTCTGCAACTTCGAAATCAACAGTATGCCAACAGATGTAGCAGATCGGGAGACCCGGAAGAATGGCGGATCGGTTCTGTCGAAACGAGTTTCACACTCAGGCTTTCGTCCAGAGCTGTCTCTTTGCATCGAAAACTCTGCATGAACCAACTTGCAATTCGCCCATAGTTAAAGAATTTGCACTACACGAGCTGCACCCGTTCTGTCCCACGAGAGCGAAAAAGAAACCACTCCCTTCTCCCGGCATGCACTGGCTCGTTTGATGTTTCCCAGGTTGACACATCCAACACCAGCTGTCCCGCGCGCTACGCTGGTCCAAGAATCAGGCTTTCCAATACCATTTTCCTTGAGCACCTTCCAACATTCAAAGCTGTTTTTTTGGTCACTTCAGGCATGCTGCTCTGAGGTTGGATAGACTTTGACCGCGACTGAACAGAGAAATGCGTATACGGAGTTAGCTATCTCAAACACCCCTGTTCTTGTCAGATGAAAAGCTGAAGTCAAAACGGGTCCACTTAACACTGGCTGGCTCTCGCGCGTGAAAAGCGATAAGTGTCGGGTAAGCAAAGGTCTGCTCGTGCTACCACAGTAGTAGTGACATACTGTGCCGGAAACGTGCTTCGATAAGATAAGGCTCAAGAACTGCTTCGGAATGATGCAATCCGTGTCGACCTGAGCACCCGAAACATCGCATGTCACTTTGGATGCAACAGGTGATCAAGTTACCGGCATTCGCTTTTCTCAATGGGCATGCAATAACACCGTCCAAACTGCAGGCGGACCCCACAGGAGGGCTTCAAGCGTCACGTGCAACAGGGTCCGCAGTGTACCTCGTAAATTTCGGCATTCCTGCCGAAGCAGGAGCCGTGCCTGTGCCCGCACCTCAAAAGCGAGGCTGCTTGCGCCAGGTCTTAGATAAGGGGCGCAGGAGCCGCATCCGAGGCTGCCACCCGTGACGCCCGTGCTGGCTTGCTCGGACGGCGTCTCCTGAAACTCCGCCCTTCAGAGAAGTGAAGCCCAAGCCCTTAGTCATGCTCTTGTCTCCTGCGCCGTCTTCCATTCAATTGGATCGGAATAGAAATCCTGCAAGGAGCAAGACAATCTATTTTGTGTCGATAACAAGGCAACCAGAAACTGAAATCCTTGCTGTTGCTTGCTTCGTGCGTCTTGGCTGCCTCGGTCAGCTCAGTCGGATGCGGGCCCGCTGCCCCCCGTCCACTGATGCTGCTTCGGCTTAGCCATTTGCAGCTTGCATTTCTGGCAACAGCTCTCGGACGTCCTGGCAAGCAAGGACTCGTGGCACCTCGATGGATTGGATGCCTATCCCCAGTCTCTTTCAGCTTTCCAGTGACGGCGGCAGCTGCCGCCATTGCAGGGCCTGAGATTCCAGAAGTCGGGACAAGACGAAAGGCCACACCAGCACTGGGCACAGACTCATCAGGTGAGTGCGACCCTGTGGTCCCTGACACGCATGTGTTTTTGCAGTTCGGACTTGGGGCTCCGATTTCCTGCCTGTCTGCCCTCGAAATTTCTGTTTGAAGTTGCTGCACACCGCTCCTCGCACCAGCTGAGACAACCCGGAGCAGACACACTGCTGCAAGGCTGCAAGGCTCCTGTGGCTTGAGACGATCCGGGTTCATGCCGAGGCACATGGAACAGCCAGGTTCCCGCCAGTCAAAGCCAGCCTGGTAAAACGAGTAGCTTGAAGGATGCCACCTGCGCAGTCGCCTGCCTCTACGAAAATCTTGTCGAGCCCCTCGGCCTCTGCTTGCTTCTTGACCTTCGTCGACAGGAACCAAAAGACTGGGGTTTGGGTCTGAAGCGATGGGCAGCGGCCAACCCTGAACCAGGTACGATCATGGCGTCCACGCCGGGAGCCACCTCCACAGCTCTCCGTGCAAGGCACAAGTGGATAAGAAAGAAGTGAATACAGTATTTGCTCTGCAGCTTGAGCTTGTCTCACTTTGATGCAGAATTCCTCCGGTGCGCTCACTCAAGCCGGAACTAGTCTAGGACCAAAGATTCGTGGGGATGCCCAGCTGTGTTGCACATGGCAAGCCCTCCACAGGTGACACGGTGAACTCTCATGCCGCGGATGGGAAGAACTCAAATCGTCTAAGTGCCACTTGAAGTGAGACACGGACGATAGACCTTTTTGATCCATCTCCACGTTCTATCGCAACGCATCTACCCGGAATGTACCAGTCTCATGGGGGTAGCCGAAGAATCCACAGAAGTTGTCTGATATCATGTCCTTCCCGGTCCCCTAATCTGCTGTGGCACGCCTGTGTCACTGTAACTCAGATTCTCTGAGCTTCGTTGACTGACAACTCGACAATCTGTCGACAACTTATCCTAGCCTTTGGCATGACCTCCTACCCCCTACTATCTTAAATTGACTAGTCGTATCCGTGCCATCGGAGCAACACATTCAATGGTAGTGGCTGATAGTAGCAGCCGTGCTGTTGTTCAGCATGCAGACACTGCAGCACCAGTCACCACAGAAACCTGGGGCATGAGGATGTCCGTCAAACTCGTGCTGGGTGATCTATCTCCAGCCTTTCCTTGCCTCGACCTGCCCTCCTCGGCCACCAAAATGGGCAACAGCCTGGCAGACACGGCATCTAAGTTCAAAGCTAGTCGAATCGCACCGAATCGCCTTGTAGCTCGTGCTTGGTCCGAACACTCTGCCGCTCGTTGCCTGAACAAGTGCTGCTTTCTGTCCCGAGGGCCCCGCTATGCCCAGCCCATGTCCGTGCTGCGGTTGCCTCTAAAATCACGGTCCCATGATCAGGGTCCAATCTGCACTTGGCCTCGGATCCAAAACCAGCCGAGCCGAACACACACGTATACCACAGCTGTCACTGATGGCCTCTGCCGGCGGCCGACCAGGACCACCTGGCCTCAGAAGTCAAGATCAACTTCTTGGGTTGAGGATTGCAGCGGGTGGCTCCTTAGTCGGCGTACGCATCACATTGGTGTGGAGCCTCGTCACCCCCCTCCGCCCTCCTCCAACCCACACGATGCAAAGGGTCTTAGCGAGGCGCTCTCCTCGCTCTTGGAGGGGCCGCTGGAGTTTAAACCGGCATACTCAGGCTTTGCAGTGCTTATTGAGTGCAGAGTGCACAGCTGTGGCCCGAAAGCTTGACATAGATTCGACAAGCTTTCCAAAACTACTTGTCCTCGAGTGTCGCATGGCCAAAACTCGGAGAATCGCGCTACCAGTTCTAGTGGATGACGATATGGCAGGGACTTCACGCGTGACGGGAGGCGCAAGCAGCGCACGTTGGCTGTCCGGCATCTGTTGAATTGGCTTGACCACGAAACAATGAGTCAGCAGGTGGTCAGTCTCTCCTGTGAGGAACCACTCGTGTTCTTCGAACCTGTAAGTCACCCCTTCTGCTCTGAAGCGGAGGGGTGGAAGGGTTGGCTACGTCGCGCGCAAAGCGTCAGAAATTGACAAGGTTTGTCGGGAACCACACGATATCACTGGGTGTTGTCAGGAAACTGGACGGGTCTTGCCCGGAATGTCGCATAGTTTTGTTAGGAATTTTGGTTGGCATGAACCCTAAACCCTTAAACCCCAAAGCCCCAAACCGCTAAATCCCAAACCCTGAAATTAACCCTAAACCACTATGGTTCTGACAAAATCACACACATAATCCTGAGAAAACCTTGCCTTGTTCCTCACAAAACCTTGCCATATTCCTGCTAAAAACTTTCTATGTTCCTGACAAAACCTTTGATATTCTGACACATGGTGCCGTGAAAATCCTTTAATGGCTCCTGACGCGGGAAGGTATGCGGGCGTCACTTTGGTCAGGCGCATGGCGTGCTATGACTCCACCTTTTAGATCCTTTCAGGGTGGGAGCATCGGGACCCCCACGGCTACATGCATTTAGCGATTGAGTTTATCCCACCCAGGTCCAAATCAATCCAAGCTCCTGAAAAGATGCTTTCGTGATCAACCCTTATTACTCACCAGGTGCGCTGCAATATCTCCAGCCAGGGTGGCGCCTTGACAGCCAGAAACTATGGAGTTGTTCGAAGGACGGAAAACATGTGGGGAGTGGGGGGGCTGCCCGCGGCATCTTCACAAAGGCAACATGTCAGGGTAATGCCGCCATATGCGGCCAATTTGAACCAGGCTCCAGGCGTACCTGGCCGCTTCTGCGAAAGCCTGAGCCAAGCAGAACAGTGTTCAGGAATCAGGTGCTTCTTCAGTGGATCTTTCGGGATGGCGTTCTCAGGTGCACAGGTTCACATCTCACCGAATCCCTCGGCATGTTGAAGGCAGCGACTGGTAGGTGTCCACGACTAGCGTGGCATGATGAAAGCACTTGGGGCTACTGTGGGCACCAAGGCACATCACAACGTGAAACTCCCCAAGCAAGAGGATCATGCAGAGCACAAAGCCCAACTTGGGGCATGTTACTCGTTCCATTTGCCTTCCCTTCCTATGTCAGGGTGGCCTCACAGTCTGCGACGGTGGTGAACTCTAGGCTGATCGGGAAATTGCGCGAGACCTGAATGCAATCGTCGTGGCCGCCACTCTCGTCTTACATGCTTTTGCAGAGGAGGGGCATCGGCGAAAAGCACGGGCAGGAATGGAGCTCGCGAAGAGGGGGACCAGGCCTGCATTGAGAGATGTCACGGCCGTAAAGGAACGCAAACAGCCGATCTTTTGCGCTTGGGCGAGGCTCGGCCTTGCTGCCGGGAAGAGCCAGGAGGCCCCGCGGAGCGAAGCACGCTGGTCTTTGCCGAACCTCGCGACCCGCTCCCATAGCAACTCCCAGGAATATCCGTTTCTCGCTAGGGGAGCAGACAGTGAACCAGTCTGTGCATGGTCGTAGACAGAAATTCAGGGATACAGACTGAAACAAACTTTGATTGACATCAGGTGTGGCCCCTTGTCTTGTCAGACACAATGAGTTTCAGAATTTGTCCGCACCACGATTCTTGTGAGCAGAACCGTGGGTGGGGTGGCTGCGGTGGGTGGGGTGGATGAGGCAAAATGCAGACGTGGGGTGGGTGGGGGACGTTGCGTGGTTGGGGTGGGTGGGTCGGGTGGGCAGGCGGGTGTGCATGTGTTCTTGCTCGATGCATCGTTTCCATTCAGCGGTCTGCTTTGCGCCTCCACAAACTTTTCGATATCAACAGTTTAGATGAAACGGCTTGGAGCTCCAGCCTGGTCTCGCAGACATGGAACAAGCAGCACTGAATCGCCGTGATGCAGCCTGAGCCATGGATCATAGAGAACGATGACCCTCGGAGCATACTGCTGGATGCGGATAGAAATGCCTGGGAGATCTTAGTAGTCACTTTTGAGACTGCAGTCCGTATGAAATCAATGATCTGGCACTCAGGATTCATCGCTATGCCAGATTGCTGATGGCAGCAGACGCACATGGACCGAGATAAGGGAGTCAACGTCCCGATGTCTCTGGTAGCCTTTGAATTCAGGATTGCCTGCCGCGGCTGCCTTTACCAGCTGTAAAACTCAGACTGAAGCTACTAGGTTGCCACGCCCAAGGCTCGGGCCCGTAGCTAGTCAGTGATCGTTCGTCCTGTCTCGTGTTTAGTGCGGCCGCAGAAGAGCAGAGCATTCCCAAGATTTCCTGCATGGTGGCACCGGCGACGACCAGCCGCTGGCTCTCGGGCGGCGTTCCCTCGTGTAACGCGATCTGGGCCTCGTAGCAGCGCTGCGTCTGCTACATCACTGCAGTGACACGGCCTTCCACTCGTACCTTGAGGTATGCTACGTTGTCTGTTGGAGCCACTTCCAGCTCCAGAGCAGAACCCTGGCAGGTGGGTCACTCACATGACATCACTCGTGGTATCAGTTCAGGGGTCTGCTGTAAGCTTGAGGGATTGCACCTGCCGAGCCAATTTGACGTAGAGGGTGAACATGCTGCCTCGAATCATCAGAGCTTGCAAGCTGGACGTTCACTCCATCTCTCTCGGAAGGCCCAAGGAGGGTCCAAAAGTGGCGTCCCCCCAGACCTGGCGACCTCCCCTGCCCCAAACTGCTACGACGACTTCTCGACTGCTCTTCCAATCTTGGTGCTCAGCTGCTCTTCTTGGAAGCAATCGTGTAGTATGCTTGTTCTACGATCCGACCCACTGGCTCGGCTTCAACTTCTCTTCCCTTCTCCTCGCCACCCCTCGCACCTCCTTCCCTCTGCTGCCCGCTACGCACGACGTTCAGATCCCAGCAGAATGCCAAACTTAGCTCTTGCATCGGCACGAATGTCACTCAGGTCCAGGATTCGGGCGAGGATCCACACCGCCGCGCTGCACAACTGCCTTGGAGGCATGGTGCGGTCTACCGTCACCGTGCGTCACGCGATGGATGTGCAGCAGAGACATGCAAGCGTAACTTCAACCGATTCCCGTGTCCCGTGGCCTTCGTGCCAGTTGCCTGCACTCAACGACTCTACATCTCCACGTCATTCGCGGCTTCCCGAGACATTCTTCGATCTTCTAATCGGGCCTGGGCTCCCTTTCTCCTGCTTGCGAGCTCCGTCCAAATCACGTTGGCCGCCTCTGCAAATCGACTCGCCAATTCTGCAGTTGTGAAAATGTGTGTTTGTGCGTTCATGCTGAGTCATTTCGTTTTCTTCTGCCAGTGCCTGCCTCGTTGTTCTTGGCTTGCCTGCGCAAGTCGTCCTTCTCCAGTGAGCACAACACCTGGCCCGCTCACAGCTTACACGCCCTGTCCCATGCTGAGCAGCGTGCAAAGGCCGAGGCATAGCCAGATGTGTAGGTAAAGCAGTCAAGGCATGGATGTCCAGGACTTGGAGGCGTTGCCAATGCTGTGGATGCCAACGGGGCAAATTCACAAAGTCTTGCGTAACCAAGCACTGGGCAGAATGGATGCCAGGAATTCAGCCACTTCACTGGGCCTTGCTAAAAGCTTTCGGACTCCATTCACCACAAGAAGTCTAGGTGCATGGCGTCCAATCCAGCGGGTCCTTCATTGTCGCAACAACCCTCACGAATCTGAGGCAACCAGAGCCGGCGTAATGCGAGCCTTTAGGCGAAAGCTGTCCAGACTTGTCACAGCCTTGACTTGGGCATAAACTTTCGCACACGTGCAGCCGCCCCATGCTGTGCCGGTATGCCACTCACCCAAGGCCGTTGCCATTAGGAGCACGTGCGAAAAGGCATGGAGTGCAGGCAGACACTCTGGAGGGCCTACAGCCTGTCTCGATTCTCGGTGGAAGAACTGCTATGGCTATGGCTCTAAACTGACTCGGTGACCAATGTCACATTTGGAAACATTCTGTCTGGTGCTGCTTCGAGATTCTCGTGTTTCTCAGAGCCCACATGAAGGGATGCAAATGTGTTGCAAGCAGAACTTGGCATCAAACCGTGAAGACGAAATGACTTGGAGCCCTGCCTTCCTGCCCTTTACCACGGCAGCAACGCTGCCTCAAACCGCACAGGGCAGCTCCTACGGCTCTACCGAAGTGTATACTTCCCTTCCTCAGCAACTGGCGCATGTCTTCTATGCGGCTGTTCGTGCAGGATCCTATGAACACCTGTTCCAGCAGAACTTCCGGAGGTGAGCATGTCCCAATATTCGGAACCTTCTGGATGGAGATGTCCAAGATCTTGGTTCCAGGCTCCAAGCCTGAGACTTCGGGAGAGACTCTACTGTACGACACTTTGCTGCAAAGGCTCCGAATTGAGTGTCGTGCCCATGTACTGCAAAGCACGCTGCATTCCAGTCCTGAACATGCAATGCATTTGCCTTAGCTCAGCCGGTTCTGCGACAGTGCGACAGTGCAAACTTCGAAACCGAGAGCAGGGTGGAAGCAGAATCACCTGCAGAGCAGCAATGGATTTGGAGTCTAACGACCCTGCGAAGTTTATACGTCGGGAGTGAGGACCGGAGCATAGCAGCAGTGCGGATGGGAAGAAACTAGATGATAGCTAACTGCCCGGTCTGGGAATCTAGACTCTGTTGCCAAGGCAGTTGGCATACATGACTCATGCGCTTCTGTCGTGAAACAAACCCTGGCTCGATCATGTGCTCCCGAGGCTTGGGCTTCGGCGACGGCTATAAAGCGAGAAGCTCAATGCAAGAAAACACACACTGCACCGCGACGGACCAACCGATGGCAGGGTCCTCTTCGTCTCATCCTTGGCCTCGACATTGGGCTGCATCGATTTCGGGGAAAAGAAGCTGCATGTGCACGGCGCAAGCTCCTCTTTGGGATCGGGAACTGTTCCTGTGATGGCCACGACGTCTTCAGGGCTTGTGCCCCACGTCACCTTGGATCTTGGCACGCACACAAGTGGAAGCACTGAGATGTACAGATTCTAACTTCATCTCTGCCACTGAAGCCCGCTGCGTTCAAGGAGCTGTCGGAGCAATGTCAGCTGCATCGATATTGATCTCTTTGTCGAACCTGATGAGCTCGGGCACATCTTGCTTTTCCTGTTGCGAAGTTCCACATGTGATCGGGAGCACTTCGCCCCCTTGTCCGTGCGCAGGCTTTTCCAGTACTCAACTGCCTGGAATGTTGGCACAAGTCATGACTCCAATTGGCAGGCACCAGCCTTGTCCCAATCTTTTCCCTTGGGGCACAGGGGCCTGGCAGGTGAATGAAAAACGCTAAAGCGCATGGCAGCTTTCGGGCTCGCGCCTTCCTTTCAGGTAGCTGAAAGTAATGTCATCAGGAGCCACCATGCCCGCCCTTAGAGCAGCACCGAACTGGTCCGAGTGCGATGCTTCAACGCAGATTTGGGCTGGTGCCGAGCCCCAGCTTCAATGGTCATATTGCAGACTGACATCCTTGCCTGGCAGGTCAGCCCTTACGGCTCGCTTCGCAGTTTCCTTCTGTGCCGGTACGAGTAGCACGGCTTCTCTGAGCGTCTCTTGCGGATTTGAAGCCTTTGCAAGTTGATTCGGAACTTCCCCAATCATTAGGTTGACGCTCTGATTTGCAAGGCTCAGTATTGCCTGCGATCTGAAGATATATCACACTTGATACGCAAAACCATTTGTTGTTCGATGCTTCCTTCGACGGTTTCTGAGTCTCAGCCCTTCCGTTGGAGTCGTTACCGCTCCGGCAACTCCCGAATCCGAACACTGCGGCGCCCGCCCCGCCCCCCAGGTACAGTCAAGACCAACAAACAAGCAGGACTACGAAAACGAGCGAGAAAGGGGACTTCTCCAATCGAAATCAACCCTGACCGGAAAAACGGCAGACAACCCGAACAGCTGTCTCTCTCTTCTTCCACACAGCCAAAGAGGGGCAGGTCCTGCCCCCTTCGCGCGTGAACGCGCCCTGCTCTCCCAAGTCTGTACGAGTGAGAAGCTCGATGAGGTCTGCGTTCTGACAACCATAGGAACCCTCCTCAACGAACTCTGACTAAGCCATCCCCCAGGTCGGATGTGCCCAACTGGCAGGCTGAAACTACACTTACACGGCAAGTACATATCACATGGTTGGTCCCCCTACCTGCTCCAACGGATGAGGGTTGCTTCTACGCACGGGCAGCGACTTTAGCCTACAGCGTTTTCCCCTTTCCCCAAACAAGTTTCGGCTTACTACTACGACATCCTGCATTACCCATAATAAGGAATATGCCATAATTCACATAGTTTAGGATCCTTGAGGATATGCAGACACCATATCGGCTACACAGAACAAAAATCCTACGGAGGATGGAACCCACCATGCCAATCGAACTGCATGCATCCAATGCCTGCGGTGGCTCCGAGGGCTCAGGTCGTCTTCATCGGCAGGTTCATCGTCCCCCCGCCATGTCGGATCTTGTGCCCCCGCCGTCTCTCCCTCGCTCTCTATCTCACTTTCTTTCTCTCCGAATTCTGAAGGCTTTGCTTCTCTTGCTCTCTGTCAGCTCGCATCCTAGCATCTGGGTCTCACGATCAAGTACTGGAATAGCGCCTCCATGGACATGTTCTCGAAGACATCTCCACCTCAGACGACAGCCAGTTCAGCACTTACTTAGCCACTTGAAGAAGGTGTGCGACATTGATGACAAGATGCAGAATTCGATGACGCTGCCAGTGCCACCAGCAGTGCCAATCACGCCAATGATGTGCAAGATCACATCCTACGTCTGTAAGCGAGGATGAGATTATGCCTAAGCTGTGGATGCAAGCGGCAGCCAGCGTTACCACAAGCTGTAGTGGTTATCGTCTCTTTTGGGTGTTTCCGGATCCAGTCTGTGCGGCCTGTCGGTAATATTGCCTTCCAATTCTCGAGAAGTACGCGCTGCAAGTCTGCAGGATGCCAGAGCAACTTCAGTCTTTTCAGGCTTTGCTCGTCCCAAACTTAGTGTTCCGCTTGTACTGCATTGACGAAACCCTTCGTCTTCTCGAATGGCCGAACCGAAAGGCTCCTAATCCTCAACTATTGCATATGAAAATTCCGACCGGACTTGGACCAAGCCAGGCAGGGTATTTCACGTTGTTCATGTTCGATGAAAAGCCCTATTCTTGAGGTCCTCAACCCAAAAGGCAAGCCCCTCCCTGATCCATGCCCATGTTCTTTCTGTCTGCATGCTTGCATGCGGACTTCCAGAGTGTAAGGCATTTTGGCACAACTCGGACCACTTCTGAGCAGGCTTGACGGAGGCTCTCGTAGTGAATGCCCAATGTTACAGAAAGGAAAGTATCATGAACACGAGGCAGTGATGTTGAAAGGGCCCGAAAGTGATGAGGATCACCAGTTTCCGGATTGTGATGTACGTACAGCACCTGGATGCAGGGGCAGGCGGAGTGATGGGACTAGCGCTTCCTGGGCATCGGCCGCAGCTGTGATGCAACCCAAGTGTTCCAGATGCAGTCCGACATCTTACGCTGCAAAGGTCCTTGGAAGTCACGCCTTCAGCCAATTTGCCAGAGACTTTGACTCGCCTAAGCCGCATCAGGTCAGATCACTAGCAACCGCCCCGCCGTTGTGGGAGTTCAATCTAGACGGAGAAAGGAGATGGAACAAACCCGACATCCACCACCGACGATCACAACCACCGACACCACGTGACGACGAAGCCGACAATCACGACATTGATCACCTCGGCGACTTCGACACGGCGACGACAACGACAAGGAAAACTACAGTCGAAGAGTACCATGTTTTAGGCTCTGTAGGAGCAGCTCGCGCTGCGATTGGTCGCGCTTGTTCATGGCCCATAATTTCCCCAAAATCAACGCCTGAAACCTTTCACCATTTCCTCCGCTTTGCCGTGCCGGAGCTGCACTCGGAAAAACGACACACGGCCTGTGATGCAAGGAATAATGCATTCAGCCTACTCGGCCACGACATCAGCAGGAGCCTCTCGCAGATCTCTCAGGAGGTATGGGAATACATACCCTTCCTTTTCTTACCGCCAAAGAACTTGCTGGGTCCCCAACATGTTCTTTGCCTTGTTCATGAGCCTGGGTTCTGACCACTGTCAACCGTGCAACTTCTCTCCAGCACTCTGCCATGCATATCCTCGCTGCAATGGTCTGCGGTGTGCCGGGCTCGGCACAGCGTCTGCGTTGCCAAAACATGTTCGACTTCAGATGTCCCGATACCTTCCAAACTGAGCTGGGCTGCACCATGGCTCCAGCAACTCCAGTTTCAAGGCAGCAGGGATCCGCACCAAAAGCAAGAGCTCCGAATGCTCCGTGCGTTGAGGTGTGGCTGTCGCCACCTTATGCTGCGCGAAGGAATTTGCGCCAAGTACTGGGATGCCGCCTCTTTCCGATAAGCCATGAACAACGGTAGTTATCGTCGTGATAGGGATAGTCATCATAATCTTAATCATAGCAACGACAATAAAACGAGGATGACGGCGGTGATGGTACGGCCATGGTCATGGTCATGGCGACGATGATGATGGCGATGATGCTGATGACGGTAATGATGGTGATGATTCTGACGACGACGATGATGATGACGGTGGTGATGATGATGATGATGCTGATGACGACAGCGATGCTGATGGTGAAGATGAAGATGAAGATGGATAAGATGATGATGACGACGATATGATGATGATGATGCTGGTGATGATGATGGTGATGGCGGTGATGATGATGACGGTGATGGAGGTGATGATGGTGATAATGACGATGATGATAATGCTGGTGATTATGATGATGACTATGTTGGTGATGAGAGTGGTGATGATGATGATGACGATGATGATGATGACGAAGGCGATGCTGATGGTGATGCGGTGATGGTGGTGATGATAGTGATGATGACGAAGATCATAACGCTGATGATTATGATGACGACTAAGTGACTATGGTGGTGATGAGAGTGATGATGAAGATGGAGATAAAGATAAATAAAATGATGATGATGATCCTGATGAGGATGCCGGTGACGATGACGATGATGATGATGACGGCGGTAATGAAGATGAGGACGGTGATGGAGGTGCTGACTGTTGTTTACTGTTATTCTTATCATGCTGGTGGGGCAGGTGGCGGAGGTGATATTTATGACGGTGGTGTGAGTGATGCTATTTATGACCGTGATGCGGGTCAAACAGGCTTCCCGGAACTTGAACAAGCCACTCTGCATCTTGGCATACGTGGTCCAGAGCACTTCCGCACCCCAGCCGGGTTGTCTGATCCGCTTCCCGGTTCGCAAGTACCCAGCAACATCTCCCTCCTCATTTACATCTGTATGTCTGCGCATCTACCGCAACACCCGCCATCCACAAAACAGGGTGGGAAGGCGAGGCGATCCACAACCACTAGGAAATCTCTGTGGGCTTGAGGTTTCCGCTCGCTCCCGAACTTGGTTTTGGAACGTGCCAGGACTTGAAAAATCACCGCTTGTAGGGTTTCGGGTTTACCTCCCCGCATTCTTTCAGGAATCGGGATGTTGCAGTAGGAGGTTTCGGAAGCACACAAGCCTGCAAAATGGACTGCCAAGTATGCGTGCGATCGTTGCAGGTGCAGCACATAATTCAGTTCCCTCCCCAGGAAGAGTGGGCTGTGCTCTGGCCTGGCATCAGTCTGGCACTACTTCAAACGCAAATGGGTTTAAGCTAGGTTTTGAATGGGCAGCATATTAGTTGGATTGACTCAGAAACCAAATGCCGTGTGAATATGATTCTCGGCACCTCTCTGTGCTGAAAGAGCGATCATTTAATGGCGGCGTCTGTGTAAGAATTCCGCAGGATTTTCACGGGCTTGCTGCAAAAAATGTCTATAGAGTCTAGTGCGCACAGATCGTGTGACGCGCGTGTTGATTCAAGGGATACGACCTTAGCAGCGTAATGAAAAATTACCACAGCATCTGTCGCGCATAGATGCGGGTGTGGTGGGGTGGGGGGTGGGGTGGGGGTGCTACCCGGATGTTGATGCAAGGGATACTGCCTTGAGGGCTGGCTTGCAATGGCTTGGGTTCACATGGAATAAGGTGTCCAGCCCTTCCCCCTGCGCAGCCACCAAAACAATCGCTGAGCGAAGAGCAAGTCATTTTTTGGATAACACGGCACGGCAATCTCAACCCCCAACAAAACGACAGGTAAGTGCTAAAGAAGTTACGGATTCGCAGCAGCTTACCACGAAATATGCTGCTCCTCTGTCTGACACCACTAGCGTCCTACATCTATCACAACAAAAACCTGAATACTTGGTGATGCTATTTCCTTCCAGTAGACGTGTCCTTCTACTTTTTTCCATCCGTAGGGTTCCCCGCTACTTTTTTACAGTACGGAAAAAAAGTATCCGCGGAAGATCTCTTGCATGGAGGCCAAAAACCCTGTAAAAATATGGGCGCGCAGAAAAGTATACGTTACGCTTAAAAAGTATCTGAGTACGGGTAAATGTCGATATCCGGGTACGGCTTTTTTACGATATAATGTCGATACAATCCGGGTTGGGTACGGGTACGGGTCGTACTGGGGTGCGGTTTTCAACATTTTTTTCGTAATCTGGTCCCAGTACGCTTTTACTCGGCCGGAAAAAAAGTATGCGTTTGGTTATTGAATGAATTTCAAACACACACCCAAAAAACCATCCGAAACAAAAGGTAGCGGCGCAAACAAAAAAAGTACACGTTTGGCGCAAGACACAAAAAAGTATACGGACACAGTTGCTGGTTAGACTGATCGAGTTCCTTTGTAAAGTTTGTTTGACATTGCCTCGTTCGATATGTTGACCTACTCCGATTGCAAGACTACACAGTGTTGTAATGCTTCACTTTGCACTACTATAATACTGGTGTAGAAAATGATTGCGTAAGTGCAGTACAACAGCAGTGCGTGTGATCTGCTTGAACACTGCTTCCAGAAAGATAGCCATCTAAAACCATCGCTACTCTCGCGCAGTCTTGTAGTCGAAACACAATAAGAAACACAACAGCTGGTTCTTCTGATGCATCTACCAAGCCTCTGCGCAAACATGGCCATTTCTCTCTGAAGATCGCACATTCGCGCATCGACCCTCATGCAGTACGGACAGGCGTCTGTCGGCCATACGCCATCCGGTTGTCCATAACACTGGGGTCTACCTTGAGCATCTTTCCGTAAAGGGCTTGTCGGGCTCTTGCGGTGGACGTCTGAAAGATCTCAGACAGGGGTCCATAATCCAGACAGTGTGCGGCCATGCCAAGGCCGCGGCAAACCACCGTAGTTCCGGGGAGGGTGAACCCCTGCGTTCTGGAGGGCTAGCGGAACAAACGCACATTCGACTCAATGAACTCCACCCCTGGCAGCGAAAACAACCACTAAGGATCATTGTTGCATAGCGATATCGACACAAGAACTCGGAGCGGCACCTGCAATCTCAAGCAGCGAAACATAACTGGTCCACAAGCAAAACAGAGAACCGTGCAGCAAGAGAAGAACCACGAGTGCTAAAATCAAACGCAGCAACAGCATTAGCAACGGCGCTAATTTAATGTCAACACCGCAGCAATGATAAAAGCAGTCATGATGCATGCCAGCCTGCTCCGGACCGATGACATGCACGATGCCTTGTCGTTTGTCCTCCATTCCGAAGTACGTGAGGCCTGCCGGACGTCATTATATGGCAATGCAGCTGGGCTGAAGCGATTGAAAACCTGGCAGTGTCTATGCATATTTCGGCACATGTGATAGCAAAACCGTTGTGTGCAGCAAGTGGAAGCTGCGGTCGCGGCCGAATGCTTGCACATTGTCCTCCAGTGTTACAACCTGGATTTGCGAAATCCGTCGGAACTTTTCTCTACGAGAACCACATGGCTGCCTGCTGCCGCGAATCTACTTCTTCTATAAAGCTTTTGGTGTCCTGAGCACCAGTGCATGTGGGCCGCAGTGCAGGCCTATGATGACGACAGCTCCTTAAAATTCTTCCGCGATGAAGTTGGGATGTTGTGGTCCACTGTGGCCAGAGTGCAATCTGTTCGGCGCACCTGTTCGGGGGTTCACGGTCACAGCCCATCCGAGCACGAATGAAAGCACGCGCGAAGGCTGGCCTCTCTGTTGCTGAGCCTGAGACCCTCGAATGCCTGAGGGCTTGTCACCTCGAGCCACACTGCTGCCACGCAGAATCCTAGCGGAGCTTGGGCAAGCCGGTGCCTCGTGGACAAGGTGACGATCAATGTATATCAGGCTTGTGCCATCTGCCTTCACACAGTCAGCACCAATCACATCAATTCTCGCCGACACTGGCATGACTCTTGTAGACATGCCAGACTTGTCCGTGCAATACTCGGGTTATCCTACCCAGGTACTCCACATATCCCGCCAGGAGCCCAATAAGTCGCCCTGGTCCGACTTGTCCTAAGTAGTCCCATTTGTCATCCAAGCAGTACTATCCGCCTCATTCATCCTAGCTCTGTTCGCTTGGTCCTGGTCCGTGATCCCGCGTCGGTTGTGGTAACCCACTACGTCGGATTACTGCACATGGCCTGTACTCGACATACTCATGTTTCCGAGTATTCTACAACGGTTTCTGCCCATTTATGTATGTATGCATGTGTATGTGTAGGCGTATGTGCATGTGTATATGTCCATAAATGAATAAATATATATATATATAATAATAATAATAATAATAGTAATAATAATAGTAACAATAACAATAATAATAGTAATAATAATAATAGTAATAATAGAAATAATAATAATAGTAATAATATATGGAAAGATATATGCAGGGTGACTTTCGATTCGGGGCAAACTGGCGGAGAGAGCGGAGGGTTCTTTGTTCCTTACGTTGGCGGTCCCCTGTGTCCTTTGCTAACCTTGGCTCTCTTTGCTGGTAAACTGCAGCATTTGCTCCTGTTTTGCAGCAAGCTATTGGGAATTATCATTTGCAAGGCTTGATTTCGCCCCAAGCGATCGGGGCATTAAAGTTTCGAGGCTCCTGTATTGTGTCAAAGCTATCGTGGAATTACAATTTGCAGGGTCTTCCTTTTTGTCAAGCTATCGTGGAATTACAGTTTGCAGGTCTTGTTTTGCCCCAACAAGCAATTGGGGGATGACAAGTTCGAGGACCGAGTCTTGTGTCAATCTATTGGGTAATTCCATGTATGTAATTTCATTTTGCAGGGTCTTGCTTTGCATTGAGCTATTGGGGAATTACAATTTGGAAGGTCCCATTTTGCCCCAAGCGGTTGGTGGATTATAATTTGCAGGCTCGATCGTCATATTTCTTAAACACGCCAAATCATTTGTTCAAATGTGTACAACCGCACATCTTAAACACGCCCCTTCATGTGGCGATTCCGGTTCATCATGTCGTATATCTTAAACACGCCCCCTGCTTTGGCGATTCCGGTTTCTCAGAAATATCTTAAACACGCCGCCTCCTCCTGTGGCGATTCCGGCTTATCATATATCTTGAACACGCGCCCCCTCCCCCCTTGGGCGATTCCGGTTCACCATATAATACATCTTAAACACGCCCTCTCATATGGCGATCCAGATATGTTGAACACGCCCCCTCATTTGCAAATTCCGAATTTGCGCTTGTGCTAAACTGCTAAGCCCGCCCTCAAACTTCTCACTGTCGTGCGAAAATTTAAAAACGAGAGCATACTGTATCTCAAACATGTGCCCCTCCCCCTATTGTGCGATTCCGGTTCATCATACATCCTAAACACGCCCCCTCATTTGGAGAAACTCCAAAACGCCCCTCATTATATCTTAAACACGCCCCTTCACTGATTCCGGTTCGTCATTTATATCTCATTTGCCAAACATTGCTAAACCACGGCAGGGCCAAAAAAGAGACCGAAGGGGTTGGGGAGCCGCAGGACCAGGGGACCAGGGACGAGAGCACCATGGGACCGGGGGCTCCTACCAAGGACCCCAGACCAGAGCCAACCTTAAAACAAACAAACGGGACCCTACTGGCAAACGTATGCACCATAAAACAAAGACTATGTTTGCAAGGACATGAATGAACCATGAAACCAATCAACTACTAAACCACACAGCCCCTCGCCATCTGGGACAAAAGTAAACATTGAAAGCAATCAGCCCTGAAACCAAAACTTTCCTGTACTCATGTCATGCAGCTGTCAGCAGTCTTGTGAACGTGCCTGCACACGCGCAATGCACATGCTGCAGTGTGCTCACGAACAACTACAGTCCATTGGGGTTGCAACCACCCACATGGTTTATAACCGAGTTTGATGATTTCCGTTCTAGGTAAAATCACTTTGCCAAGGCGGGCTTATTGTTTACATTTAGACTATTTTAGACTAGTAGATATGCTGAATATTGCCTTATATATATATATACACACACATATACATGCGCGTGCGTGTGTGTGTGTGTGCGTAAGTAAAAAACCAGTACATGTAGTCGGACCACACACCTTGCGCGGCCACCGTGTTTTTTCGTGCTTTTGGCCAGGAGTCGTAGCTCTTTCCTCGAGCTTTTGCAGTTTTCCGGGCAATGCGCTTCTAGGGCTCTTTTGAAGCTTTTGACTACTTTCGTCGCTTTCGGACTCGGACTTTGCACTTTCTGGTTCTTGCATGTTCCGGATGTTTCGAGCGATTCTGTGGAGTTGGGGGGAGGGGGAGTGGGGGGGGGGGTGGGAATAATGACCTTCTTTGGCACCGACTGACTGTCGTGTTGGGTCACTGCAAGGCCAGGGACAAGGAAGCTTTGAACAGGGCCATGGACAATGAAGCCTTCGAGTGTGGGGGACTCCACCCAGGCCTTATCCGTTGATGGCAGAGCATCCATGGGCCAACCATGATAACATCCACCCACCCCATCCGTTGTCACAGACAGTCTCTGGGCCAAATATGATTTCGTCCACTCAGACGACGTCCGTTGTCGGCAGAGCATTCATAGGACAACCATGATAACCCCCACTCAGATGTCACATGGGCCAACCATGATCAAGTTCATCTAGACCAGCCGTGGGCCACGATGATAACGTCCACCCAGACTCCATCCGTTGTTGTTTAGTGACCCCATGAATACCAGACTACATGTAGCATAAAGCTTGGAGCAAGCATGCCATGGAACATGAAACCGGTACTGCACGTGTGTGTGTGTGTTCAAACTCAATCACATCGCAAGACTCCCAACATGCGAACATGTAGCGCGGGACATGTATTTGCATGTACCATGCCAATGATGTGACAATGTGAGTACCAACAAAGTGCTTCAATATTTAGACGCATGTACTTTTCGGGCTTGCCTGCCCGTGCAATACCTGTTCGTGGATCAATTCTGTAGTCGGCACGGAGAGCACTCTTTTCTGTCGGCCATGAAACATCTGCTTGCATAAGAATGAGCAACATCCGTAATCGCTTCGCAGCAATGACGGCCAAACCTGTCGTGCTGGCTTGCTTCAACCCCGCTGTAGTTTCGAACCTGGCCTTTACAGCTTGTGCCTGCAACACTCAAGCCTTGCCCGCAAAGCTTCATCCATAAGCCGCAGCACACAATGCACATGCCCATACTAATTGCGCTCCAGAGATTCGAGCGAGCCCGAATGTGGCTCCACGCTTTCCCGTTCGCGTTCGACAAGACTGTCGGCCGACCGTCTGGCGATGAACTGGTCCCTACTTCCTCCAAAATTGGAGACCCCATTCCCCCACACAACGGGGCCATTCTATGGACTTATCGAGACTATCGAAGCTGTGTCGTCTTGCGGTGGCTTTCTTGGAATCATGCTTCCTCGCCTCATTCACCAAATGGTCCGCCCAAATCTTGTCGTACAATGTACGCGGGCCAGCCTGACACGAGTCGGCAGATCGCAAACCGCCCTCAACTGACATACTTCATCCTGCGATCCCATGCGGTGGTCAATGCTCAAGCAATAAGCTTGAAAGGTTCGAACAAAAGTCGGAGTGCACAGATTGGAAGGGAACTATGGCCGATTCGTGTTGTCAGTGCCTGGCTGCTGTCCTCGTACTGGACAGCAGTTGGTGCCATTTGCCTGACGAAAGGGGTTTCCACACTCAACAAGCTGCAAGTGCATGGTTCACAGCATGAGCTGCTTCAAGTTGCGCACCAAAGATATGCACGAGATGAGTCCTTTCTTGAGCAAAACTGCTACGGTCAGGTCGCACTCGCCAGCCTTTCCAAGACTGTGACGTTGTAAACGTCCGAGCCCGGGCGACTTTAGCGAATCGAGCCATGAGACGTCTCATCCAAGTGATAAGTTCGGTGGTCAGACTGGTCTGCGTGTTGCGGATACACTTGTGCGTTGATCTAAATTAACATATCCCCGAGTTGGGCTCCTTCACGAAAATATAATTTTCTTCAGCGTAACTTTCGCTCTGACTTTCGCGCGCCCTTCGCGGACACATATTCAAGTATATATTGATACATATACCAGAGACCAGAGTCCTATATGGAACGTGCCCACAAGTTTCATGCTCCCCGCTGTAGTACTAGTCCTAATGCTACTGTGAATACTAGTGCTAGTCGTTGTATGTGCCAGTAGTAGCCGTAGAAATAGCAATGGGCCGTTGAACTTGATATGGCAACCTCGACTTTCCCGCGACTTTCGCGGAACTTTAACATATCTTTCGCGTGATTCG